CGCCATGGAGCCGGCGGAGGTGAAGGACCGCATCCTGGAGAACATCTCCCTCTCCGTCAAGAAGGTGGGCGGCGGGGCCTCGGTGCTGGGCTGGGGTGGCCCTGGAGACACCCCCCGCATCTCTGCAAGGGCTGTGGGCCTGCAGACAGACCTGGGGACCCCCTCTGCAAGGGCTGTGGGCCTGGGGACAGACCTGGGACAGCCCTGGGGACCCCCTCTGCCCTGGGATGTCCCTGGGGACTGCCTCTGCTGGAGGTGCATGGCTGGGGGACACTCCTGGGGACCCCCCCAGACACACACCACCACCAGAGGTGTGGGGCTAGGGGACAGTCCCTAGGGACACACTCACACACACCCCCCCACCCCCCCCCCAAGGGACGAGGCTGGGGACACCCCAGGGACGCTGGGGGACTCCTTGGGACAGGAGTATGGGGTTGAGGACACCTCGCCATCCCCTCTGCCAGAGGCAGGGGACACCTTTAGGGATTCCTCTGTGCAGGTTTGGGGATGTCTGTGGAGCCCACCTGTGCTGGACATATGAGGTTGGAGGTGTCCTTTTTGCTGGTGCCATGGGACACCCCAGAGGCACCCTCTGGCACTGTGGGGTCACCCCCCAGCTCACCCTGCCAACAGGACACTGCTAAGGTCACCCCTAGGAGCCTCGGTCTGTGCTTCAGTGGGATATACTGGGGTTCCCCGCCCCCAAAGGAATCCCTTTTTGAAGGATTTCTTTCCCCCGTGGACAGGACTGGGGGGATCCTGGGAGGATCCCTTTTCCTGGGGCTGCATCTGAATGAGTCCAACGTGAAACCCTCCTTCCAGAGGTCCTCCCTCCAGCCAGGTGTACACTGCGGAGGGTGCAGGTTGGAGGGGTAGGACCTGGAAACATCTCCCCCGTGGACACGAGGGACATGTGGTTCATACTCGTGGGTTGGCCATACCCTGGTCTGCGCCCTCAAAACCAGGGCTCTGAAGACATGTGCCATCATACCTCATCTCTCAACCTTGTCCTGCTTGCCCCTCATTTCTCCTTGCCCCTCAGCATCTTCCGCTGGTGAGAGCGTGTCTTAAAGGCCATGCCTTTGGTGGGGAGCATCTGCGTGCCGGCATGGAGGGGACCAGGACGCTGGAGTCGTTTGGGGCGGTCACAAGAATGAGTTGTAAGAACGTGCTGGAAGTTTTGGGTTGGGCCACATGTCCTGCCTGATGCACATGTGAGTTCCAGCCATCTTGAGAAGGAACACAGGCTCTGTTTGAGGAGGTAAAGGGACTCTTGTTTCAGTTTTCATCCCAAGTTTTGGGGGATAGGAGGCTTTCTGGACTTACTGATACTTCTCCTCATGCTGGGTTTCCGCTGCCTTGTGGAATAGTTCTCCTGTGATCTGCAATGTGTCCTGACAAAGATTCATACATGAAAACTTGTCTTACAAAGACCATCACGAGTGAATCCCCGGCACTATTAAGGAAGGGATGGCCTGACATCACCTCTGGGATGTAGGATGGATGTGGAAACCTCTCCCAGCCTTTCTCTTTTCTTCCACGGGTGATCCTGTCCTCTGGTCTCTCACCTTCCTGTCCTCTAAAATTAAGGATAATCTTTTATCTACCTGGAAACCAGTGGATGCTCAGCCTGCTCCAAGCTCTGTTACGATGCTTTGCAGTGCTGACCTAACTGCCTCAGTTTCCCCATACGTGTGAGGATATTCTACATGCCACACAGGATTTGTTGGACATAATTTATTTGCATTCAGAAAATCCTTGGGCATCCCTCTTGGAAATGCTATAAAAACAACATGGTAGTTATTTTAATTACTATTGCACTTGAACAGGACTCATCAACTACAGCTCTGCCGACACACCTCTGCCTAGACCTCCCTCAATCTCTGCCAACTTTTATTTTGGTCCAATGGTGAAGAGGGATTTGGGGATTTTTCAGTGCTCCCCCTTTTGCTTTCCTGTTCAGTTCAGAGTGAGAAAGCTCAGAGAAATGTATGAACCTACGTGAGACTTCAGGCTGACTTATTTATACCATCCCAGCAAAACCAAACTCAACCACATGGTGAAAGTCCAGCACTGGCACACGCCTGCTTTTTACCCCCAGGATGCAATTCTCCTTCCTTGGGGACATCGCTTCCCTTCAGCTATGGAGCTGCTACCTTTTCTCAATGCTTTCCTGTCTGACTTCAACCCTCAAGTCCCTGATGTTTCTGTTTTTCTCTGTGTTAGTGGGAAGAGTAAACTAATAGGTTAGGGGAGCAGGTACACCCTTCCCACACCTGGCTGCGCGCTGGGAAATCCTGCTGTCATTCATCCTCCTCTCCCTACCTCTGGGCCCCTCTTGAGTAACTCCTTGTTGCTGGGATTGTGTCATACGGCGTGGAGGAGTTTTCCAGGTCCCTGGCCTCTGATTTCAAAAGCTTCCTAGCTGTGTAGGTTGCTCGCTCTTTACTTTCACCATTGTTGCAGGTTTGAGTTGTAGAGCAGAGGGTTTGGATGCGTTTGTGGTGATGTGCACGCCTCTCCACTCCACTTTTCGGCCAGTTGATGATGGGTTTTCTTTTCTCAACTTCAGACCCAAAGAGGATTTTGTGGACTTTCAGCAGTCCATGGACTGCAAGTCGGATATTATTTTAGAAGACAGCCCAGACTAAACCCCACCTCAAGATTGGGTAAACTGGGGCAAACTGCCAGGTACCTGGTTACAATGTCAGGCTTGGAGTAGCAGCAGCAGAAAACAATACCTTATTTTCAAGTGGCTCAGGGAAAACCATCCAGATGCTTGTCAACTTTCCTCTGCCTCTGATGGGGAATGCAACAAGCAGCAGCACAGCCTTGGGCAGGGTTTGTGCCATGGAGACCTGTGGCTGTGACTTTACCTGGCTGGGACTTCAGTTTCTCCAGGATGCTTCTGAATTTCAGGAGTGGGAGGTCAGAGCACAAGCAGTGAGTAAGTTCTGTACAAATCGACAGCAAAAACCAGTGCTTTGATTCCAAGCGAATCCCTCAAGCGCCAGTGAACAGGACTGTTTATCTCTTATTTTCCTGGGAATACACAAGGGAGGGAGCACAGCTAGAAAAGGCAGGGATGCAAACCTGCTTGGAGAGGGTGATGACAAACCTGTGGGTTTCTCTGTGTGACACCCAGGCGCCAGATCTGGGCCCTTCACGTACTTCACCCGTATCTGAGATCAGCGGTAGCTTTGCCATTGACTGCAGAGGTGTGAGATCAGGCCTCGACTGCAGAGAGGCAGGACATCTAATTTAGGCACCCAATAAATTGTCCCCTGCAGCTGGAGAGATATCAAGAGGCTGCTGCTCTTGGTGGCTTCAAGGAGAGGTTGGGAGAGCTCAGCAGTAGCGAGTTAGGTCCCTGCTTCAATTCCGGCACACATCCATGGAAATTGTGAGTGTGGTGTCGATTTCCCATCTACAGCTTCTCCTCTCTGTCCTCCCTGGGATACAGAAATTAATTCAGAGGGCAATGCTTTCTGCTCTGATTACATGGACAGTGTGATGCTATGGAGCTCGTTGCTTCTGTCTTGTGACCGTTTCTTTTCCCCTTGCCCTCCTCCTCTTCTGTTAAGAGGGCCAGTACAAATTACTGTGCAAATTGATGCCTAATCCCTTTTTTCTTTCTTTTTGTTTTTTTTTTTTAAAGAATTAGAGCTTTATTGAGGCAGAAGGCTGGAGATGGGCTTGTTATGGCTCCGTGTGCATTCACCGCTTACTGTGCATCCTCTCCCAGTGGGGTGCAGACCCTTGATCACTCAAGTGCTTGTTTTCTTCTCGGAGAGATTACTGTGCGTGGCAGCAGTGGGATGAGAGCTGCCTCCTGGTGCCTCCCAGTTGAACTCTTGCTGTGATAAGCACACTAGAAACGCCAGCAGCTTCATATCCATCCTTGGCCAACCATCTCCTGGTAGCTAAGAGCTACCACAGGTGACCTGGTCCATGCTGAAGCTGGCAGCTCTTGCTGGATTTCTGTGCCCTCCTGAACATTGCAGTGGGTTAAGGAGAGATTTATTGCTGTCCTGCTTGTGATTAGGTAGCGAAAATGCAAAGTCCTTTAGCAGTCCTTGTTGTTGGCAATTCCGGGACCTGAATTTAAAATCAGAAGAGATCAGAATCCAAGGTTTTGGGGCTCTTCTCTGTTTTTCAGGCTTTCCTACTGGCTTTGAAAGACATGCATTCCCATGAACGCTAGAGCAGCTGATCCTTGGTGTATGTCAATCAGGTGGAGTGATGTTTTTTGCCCATGTTGCAGGAGCTTTTGCCAGAAACTCTGGCTCTGCCCTGTTTATGCGTGACTTTGGGAAGGTTTCTGCTTCCTCCACAGTGAATTAATGCTGCGCCTTTTTTGCTTGTCTCCAGATCAGATTTTCAGCCCTGTACCATTGAAATGCCTTTGCAGTCCCCCAGGCTCCCTGAGCTCTGCCTTGCAGGGTCTCTGCTTCTCCTGCACGGTGAGGGCGGGTAGATTTGGGGATGGCTTAGTGCCCCTGTGTCCTGGAGAGGAGCAAGTAGCTCTGGAGTGGAGCATCCTTCCTCATATTACATAGGGAAAGTGCTCATCTCTGGCTGGGTGAATTTATTTAGCCCAGCTGCCGTGACACAGAGGTGGCAATTCTGGAGATGTGAAAATAGTGACTTGCCTTCTGCTTTCCGTGGAGGGGCACCTCACTGGCTCTAAGACTACAGGGGGTTTTATCTCTGCCAGGGTATTTCCTCTCGCTCATGTTTGCTCCAGGCCACATCCACTATTGCTGCGGGGAGCACGCAGCAGGGATCGATGTCGGTACCCACACACCGCTCCCCTTGGCAGTCCTGGTGTGCCCCTTTGCTGTGTGTACCAGGTTTGCCAGACTGCCAGAAGCCCGTGGCTGAAGCTAGCAGCAATCTCACGGAGCTTGCAAGGCGGCTGTGAAGACACAAGGGTTGCTCAGGTGCTTTAAGAAGTCTGTGAACACTTGCAGCTCCAAAACTGCATATTTTGGTGGTCCTCAAAGGTCTTTGCCACTGTTTGACGAGCGAACAAAGCCGTTTGCTGTGGTTCTGCTGAGACTG